GTAGGTTGACTGGTAGATGGTATTAGTTGGGAGTTTATTTAATGTGTAGTGAGGCCCACCTGTTTGAGTGTAGTGTAGAAAATTACTGCAATGCCCTTAATAAATATATATTTTTTGGTTTTTTTATAAGTCGCGATTATGATGTATTCTTATTTCTTTTATTGAGCATCATTCTAATGTGAACCCAACGCTATATACACACACACATATATATAGGGATTGGTTCCAATGCATCCGCTTATTCAAAGTGTGGACGTGAGACTCATTCCTAGCCACAAGATTTAGATCTTGAGTTAAATAATAATTATTTATTTTTAATTATTTAAATATTATTATGATCATTGACCGTTGACTCCGGCGTTGACCATTGACTTCGGCGTTGACTGTTGACTTCCGGCGAGAATCGTTGACTTCCGGGCTTGGCCCGTTGACCTTAGTATGCATCATGTATGAAAGACTAATTAAAGTCAACTAACCTTGTAATTAAAGATAACTAACCTTCCAGCTAAAGACAACTAACCTTGCAAACTGAATACAACTAGACATTGCAAATAAAAACAACTAACCCTGCAACAATATAGAGCTAACTTTGCAACTACAGACAACTAACCTTGCAATTAAAGAAAACTAACGTTGCAACTAGATAGAACTAACTTTGCAACTAAAGATAACTAACCTTGCAACCAAATACAACTACCCTTGCAACTAAAGACAACTAACCTTGCAACCAAAGACAACTAACCTTGCAACTAAAAACAACTAACCTTGCAATCAAAGACAACTAACCTTGCAACTACAGACAACTAAACAATGCAAATAAAAACAACTAACACTGAAACAAGATAGAACTAACTTTGCAACTACAGACAACTAACCTTGCAACTAGAGAAAACTAACATTGCAACTAGACAGAACTAACCTTTCAACTAGACATAACTAACAGTGCAACTAAAGACAACTAACTTTGCAACTAAAGACAACTAAACTTGCAACTAAAGACAACTAACCTTGAAACTACAGACAACTAACTTTGCAAACTGAATACACCTAAACATTGCAAATAAAAACAACTAACCCTGCAACATTTTTACAATAACTTTGCAACATATTTACACTAACTTTGCCTCACCATATTTACTTTATACACAATACATATTACGGTCAACGGGTCAACGTCGGTAGTCAACGGTCAACACCGAAAGTCAACGATTTTCGCCGGAAGTCAACGGTCAACGCAGGAAGTCAACGGTCAACACCAGAGTCAACTAATAATTATTTCTATTATTTAATTAATGTATATTTTAATTGATTAACATAAATTCTTGATCTAGACACAATGAGTGGCTAAGATTGAGTCTTACGTACTCATTTTAAGGAGTAGTCTCATTGGATCCACCCCTATATATACTTTTCAACATTGATATTCATTAAATAATGTTTAACATGACTGATTGAAAATTTACAACTAAACATTACTTTGATAGTAATAGTCGTTGAAAGAAAAAATTCTAAGAAAGAAAAAAATTACATGCATAATTATAATGTTACAAATAATCTGTACTAAAATTTTGAATTATATGTTACAAGTGAAGTCATATTGCTACATAAACAAATGCCTTTTTTCAAAAAGACAAAATTATGTGCTTGAGGCATGCCTTGCGTATGGTATATTTTCAATAGTATACATGATAACAATGAATTCAAATAACGCAAAAGTCAATGAGTTTGAATAAATGTGTTTTTCTTTAGCAAGCCATAACGCATACATTGCATAGGTTTATTAATGAATTGTATAAATTAAATTTACATACACTATGGAATATAAACATCAAAAATATATTTTATGTTTAAAAACAAAATAATACATCAACAACTTTTATTTTATGAAACATTTTTTTCATAACCCTTTTTTTTCAGTTTGTTACTATCATCAAATAATCTTTTTAATCTAATTTTTAATCACTCATGAAATAACTATATGATCAAACAATGAGTTTTATAATGTACGTGAATATAATATAAATAATTTTTTTTTATCTAAAAGTAATAATAATAATAAGTGATTTTATATTTTTGTTTTTAGTTATATATAATATTCAATATTTGACTAATTTTTACACAGTTAAAAACAATAGAAAAAAACACATGACATAATATGAATAACAAAAAGAAAATGTATTTTTTATTAAACTGTCTGTTCCTATATGAATCAGGTTCCAGTATATATATTTTATAAAACTTATATGGTATCATATCAGGAGGAGAATAAAATATTGGAAAAAATGCATAGGCAAAAGGTTTCAGAAATGGAGAAGTTAACACAAACAGTTTGGGAAATTGAAGAGGCTATTTGGCTGGACGTGTCGCTGCTGTTCGTGAATACCATAGAAATGTGCAAGAAATAAATGTAAAGTGCTTTAAATTTTCAAGTCTGCGATGAAATGTGTTTCGTGAGGTGCTTCTAATGCTCAATGCTTGAGCAGAAAGAGAAAATAATTTAATTTAGATCGTGAAACTTTTAAAACGATAAAAAAATAATGCTTAGGTTCATAAAAGAAATATATAGCTATATGAATGAGTTTGCTATTTAAAACTCATTTAATTTCTACATGGGAATAGAAATACCTTGTTTTGTCTATTTTTAATTCCAACAGCATTCATGANATTAGCAAACTCAAAGAAGTCTTACAATCGATTGTCCAACTGGACACAAGGCCAACAACAAGTATTACAAAACACAATTAAGCCTAGCCAAATCCGGAATTGTACTACAGCCCGTGAACCGCTAAATAAGACTAAAACTACACGAACCAGGATAAAAAACAAAAGAACATGAATTTTTACTGCGAACTAAAATTGTTACTTTTTGACCAATTTTTATTGTTAACATAACCTAATCATTTTGCCTTTACAAACTGTTAATATCAAGACCGAATTCCGCAGATTAAGGGCGTTTCGAGTGAATTTAAGATGGATTTAAGAAGAATTACTAGAAGACTGAGATGCGATGGAGGTCCTCGGTACCATCTCAATATCTAATCGACATCTCGTTATTACTACCTTGGTCTCCAAGACGCAAAAAAGCAGACTACCAAATCGCCCCAGCATTGAACAACCACCTCGGGATTGTTTTCTCGGTTCTAAAAAGGTTCTATGGGAAGGATGTAGCAGGTTACAAATCTGTGGAACAACTGATGTCCTAAAAAACCCGACCTCGTCTCGACAGAAGTGACGCCTGTCACTTCTTTCAAAGGGTGTCCATGCTTTCATCATAGCCTAAAAAGCCTGCCAGCATCATAGCTGCCCCTTAGCCGTCATATCTGCATTAAATGCCGCCGACTTCTCTTGAAAGGTGTGCCAGATATAACTATAAATAGCAGCATTAAAGTCGATACGAGGATCTACGACCAACACATTAAATTCACGCATTTATTACCTCGGCTTCATCTGTTTTCGACCTCCTGTACTAAAAAACCGACTTGCTCGAAATTGTAACCGACCTCATAAAATTCAGTAAAAATCATATTTTCTTCAATTTTCGTTGTGTTTTGAGTCTTAATTACGTTGATTAAATCCGTTTATCAACATTTTGGCGCTAGAGGAAGGGCTCCATAAGATATTTAGAGTTAATTTTCGCATCTAATCAACACCATATCTCAATCATACACGTAAACATGTCTCAGTCCGGGTAAAACGATCGGACCACCTGGGGAAGCGCCGCTAATAGCACCCCTGATCCAGCTGCCGGGCATAACAACGTGGCACCAACAGTGCCTGATTTGAACGCGCTCATGCAGAACCCTGAGTTTGCTAGGGGATTTGCCGCTTTGCTGGCCCAAACCACGCCGGGGCCTTCAAAAGCCCAACAGCAGGGACCGCTCTTCGCACCAATAACACCGGCGAAGCAGCGGGCCCCCCAAATGCAAGGACGTGATAACAACCCAGCTCCGTCGCATGCAACGTCACAACCACGAGGTAACAATTCACAAGCCCATCCGGTAAGAAACGCGGCCCCGTCGGAGATGAACCTGCCGGAAATGAACCAGTCGGAAATCCAACCACCTGAAATAGCTGCAGAAAGTCATTCAGGACATGCTCGGAGAGTTCCCCCCGCAGCTCGGCCGTTATTTCAACAACCAGAAAACCCGGTCGACTTGCGATAACAAATCGAACGAAATCGGCACGCCCGACGTGACACCTCGGAAGTGGAGACTTTAAGAAGGAAGGTTACGGAGCTAGAATCCTTGCGTGCAACTCAAATCGGGCATCCCTTGCATTCCCGCGCCTCGAAACCCGGGCACGTATATCTCGAAATTGACTCCCCCTGGCACCCGAATTGACTAGGGGCCCATTGTCAGGGAAAGTCAAAGTCCCGCAAATTGGGCTCTATGACGGGACCTCCGATCCTGACGCTCACCTCGGTCACTATACATCATGGATGGATTTGCATGGTGCAGACGACGCTTTGAGATGTATGTTTTCCCTGACTTTGGTACTCAAGGCTAAAAAATGGTATTACTCATTACCGGCCGAGTCTATCCGATATTGGTGTCAACTCAGGTCGGCTTTCCGATCGCATTTCATTGGGGCCCAAGTCTGCTTGATCCCAAAAGAATCTATTTTCAATATCGTCCAACGAGAGGACGAGAGTTTGAAAAGCTACGTCGCTCGCTTCAATGAGCGCGTATAGAACATGGAGCCGTGCCATCAGGAAACATTGCTCGTCTTAGCAATGTCGGGCTTGAAACCGAAGTCAATGTTTCGCTGGGCTCTTTGTCAAAACAAACCCAGGACATTCCAGGAGTTCCTTGCCCGAGCTCAGCAACACATTATCGTGGAAGAATCC